ATTCCAAGACTGACTTGAGTCTGCTCTGCACTTCTCCCCCGTCTAATCCCTCCTTTTTCTGGATAATAATAATCCTTGCATTTGATATAGCGCTTTTCACGTCTTCCTAACGTCTCAAAGCGCTTCACAGAATAGACTGTAAAGTGGATTGACTGTATATTTGTGGGAGAAATGCAGCAGCCAATTGCGCACAGCAGAGTCCCACAAACAGTCGTGGATTGAAGTGACTAATTTTGTTTTTTTTTCTTGAGGGATTATTATCAGGCGTGTGGAGTAAGGAAACTTGCCCAAGGTTTCACCCTGCCGGGAATCGAACCCAGGTCTCTCGCTTGAAACGCGAGTGCTCTAACCACTGAGCTACAGGACTCCAGGATTACTCCTTATTACATTGCTATTTGTCTGTCCCAGCCCTCTGTGTAACTTGTTTGTCCTCTCTAATTCTACATCCTTCCGATTCCCATTCTCCCCTCGAAATTAGTTTGACCCTTCCCTGCAGCACTAGTTAACCTCCCTGCGAGGACATTGGTCCCCGTCCTCTTCAAGTGTAACCCATCCACATTGTACAGGTGCCATCTGCCCCAGAACTGGTCCAATGATCCAGGAACCTGAAGCCCTCTGTTCTGCACCACTCAGTTCCCTCCTCACGCTGCTGGGCTCTCTACTCAATTCAAGTTAGTTGAATAGATACTTGAGAAGTAAGAGCATTAAGGGCTATGGAGAAAACAACAACAACAAATTACATTTGTAACAAGCTTTTCACACCCCAATGTGCTGAACAATCAGGGATTTGGACCCGAGCATGGGGTTGGGATCAGGAGGATAGGGGTAGGAGGGTGGCCAAAAGCGCGGTCAAAGAGGAAGTTTTTGAGACGTTCCTTGAAAGAGGCAAGGGAGGGAGTGAGGCAAAAATACTAATATGTCGGCTTTATATAACATTATTATTATTATTACTATTATTATCAGCCTCTCAATTTCATACCTTGATTGTGATGTGCATTGCTGGAGTGGGGTAAATGGGTCTGACCAGCTCAGTAAATAAATGCCACGTTTAGAAGAAGCCAATGCCAATGGAAAAGCGTAATTGTGTTCAAACATGTAAATGATTCAATAAAGCTAATGGGATCCTGGGTTCTGTAACGAGGGACATAGCATATAAATCCAAAGAGCTGTATTGGTTTGATCACAGTTAGAACAACGTGTCCCATTTGAGTCACCCCACTTTAGAAAGGACATAAGAGCCATAGAGAAGATGCAGAGGAGATTTACACACATGATACTCAGGAAGAGTGGTTTGACCTATGGTCACACTGCTGAAAGTGGCCGATTTGCATTAGAAGAGAGCAGGTTGATAGACCTTATAATTTTAAATTATAAGAGGTTTTGACAAGAGTTGATAGAGAGAAATTATTTCCAGTCAAGTAATCATTAGCTAGAGAGAATAATAACAATCATTGCATTTGGTATAGCGCCTTTCACGTCTTTGTGACGTCTCAAAGCTCTTCACAGGATATACTGTAAAGTGAGTGGACTGTATATTTTGTGGGCGAAATGCAGCAGCTAATTGCCCACATCTGATGGGTTGTTATCCAAAACATCCTTTTCTTTTCCAATGGTGTCACATGATCGAACATCCACCTGAAGAACAGGCACACAGGACCTTAATTAAGTATCTTGTGCGAAAGACACCACATCCAATACCATCAGCCAGGATTGTGAACTGAACTCAATGTGGGGGCTTGACCTCACAACCTTCTGAGCCAGAGGGAAGTGCATTATCATTTAAGTCATCAGTACATTGGGACACCCTCCCTCCCAACATGAAAGATGCTATAATAAACGTCAATTTATATTGTATTGTTAACTGAGACCCAAAGGAGTCATTTAACTGATTTTGCAGTGTAAAAAAATGTTTTACTCTTATTTCTCAGTAAACCTTTTTGACCAGTTTCTAACACTTGGAGGGAGGGAAGGCACTGGTAGTGACCAAGAGTGGAATTCACAGAGGATTGTCCCTTCTTTGGATAGGAGTACTGAGAACAGTTGTACTGTTAATATGTAATAATTCTTGTATTTGATATAGCACCTTATCACACCATTGAAACGTCTCAAAGCCCTTCACAGAATATACTGTAAAGTGGATTGACTGTAAAAGGCTATTGCACAAGGTCAAGGCCCACAGGATTAATGGGAACATATTAGCATGGATTGAAGAATGGCTAACGGGTAGAAAACAGAGAGTAGGGATAAACAGGTTATTCTCGAATTGGCAGATGTGACTAGTGGAGTGCCACAAGGATAAGTGCTTGGGCCTCAGCTATTCACAATTTACATCAATGATCTGGACGAGGACATTGAATGTAACGTATCTAAATTCGCGGATGACACTAAACTTGGTGGGAGAGTAAGCTCTGAGGATGATGCAAAAAGATTGCAATTGGATATAGATAGGCGAGGGGAGTGGGCGAGTAGGTGGCAGATGGAATTTAATGTGGGGAAGTGTGAAGTTATTCACCTAGGTAGAAAACATAGAAAAACTGATTATTTTCTAGAGGGGAAGAGATTAGATAGTGTTAGTGTTCAGAGGGATTTGGGTGTCCTTGTACACCAGTCTCAAAAAGTTAGTTTGCAGGTGCAGCAGCAACTAAGCAGGAGAACGGCATGTTAGCGTTCATTGCAAAAGGTTGAGTACAAGAGTAAGGAAGTCTTGCTGCAACTGTATAGGGCCTCGGTGAGACCACACCTAGAGTATTGTGTGCAGTTTTGGTCTCCTTATTTAAAAAAGGACATACTTGCCCTCGAGGAGGTGCAGCGTAGATTCACTCGGTTAGTTCCTGGGATTAAACTAGGGCTATATTCTTTGGAGTACAGAAGAATTAGGGGAGATCTTATTGAAACATATAAGATTCTTAAAGGGTTGGATAAAGTAGACACTGAGGGTCTGTTTCCCCCAGTAGGAGAATCTATAACCAGGTAATTAGGTCTGAAGATCAGCTATGATCTTTCTAAAAAATTTCTAAAAATTTTAATCTTTCTAAAAAATTTATTTATTTTGAAGGGATTATTAACCCTGGAAAGTGATCAACCAACCAATTCTTACTAGGTAAACAGAAGCATGTGGAGTAAGAAAACTTGCCCAACATTTTGCTCTGAATTAAAACCCAGGTCCTCTCGTTTGTGGAGCAAGTGCTCTAACCACCAAGCTACAGGACTTACTGTTTCTATTATTGCGCCTATGAAGATCAGCTGAAGGTCAGCTAGACCAAGGATTGACCATGGAACTCTTCTTCTGGTTTGTATGGCTTAATGATGATGACAACTTTACATAGCACCCTTCACATAGGATAGTTTCTCAGAGCACTGTGTAATTGCAGGTTTGGGCATCAAGTGAAGGTGGTGGGTGGGTGGGGTGGTGATCATGGGCTAAGTTAACGTAGAGTTAAGGCTTAAGGAGTGAGCATGTGTGTGTGTTTGTGTGAATGCGCAAGAGGAAGGGAGGGAGACAAGTACAACTCCTTTATGGCAAGCGGAAAATATCCCCTCCGCAAAGGTCCATGAAATTAAAAAGGTTTAAATAATCAGTGAGGTTGTGTCTGCAGCCCAGGGAATACTTAATGGTTTCATCAGGATATGGGAGATGGCAACCTTAGTGTGTGAAAAGACTATTACACCTCCCAGATGCAGTCAGGATCCCCAGGTCAAGGGGTGAGTTCTATCTTCAGGCTGCCCAGTGGGACACCATTAGTAATCCAGTAGTATCTCTTCCCCACAGCATCCTGAGGTACTGGAATGACCTTTGTGAAAGTTAATGATGTAAAACAATCCCTTCCTGACCTCTCTCTCCCTCTGCCTTCCTCAATTTGCCTCGAGAAAACTCCAATGCACACTGACATTTACACAGCGTCTTTCACTTTGGGAGGACATCCCAAGGCGCTGGACAGTCAGGGATTTGGACCCGATCAAGGGTTGGGATCAGGAGGGGTGGGTGGCAGGCAGGGTGAGGGTAGGAGGGTGGCCGAAGGCGCGGTTGAAGAAGAGGGTCTTGAGGCGGGCCTTGTAGGAGGCAAAGGAGGGAGCGAGGCAAAGGGACTGTGGGATGAAGTTCCAAAGGGTGAGGGCAGAGAAGATGAAAGCCCAACCGCTGATGGTGGGGCAGACCGGGCCAGGGACAGGCCAGAGCCTGCTGAACGTAGGGAACGGGACAGGTTGTTATGGGGTTAGCAGGTCATGGAGATAGGAAGGAGCAAGGCCGTGGAGCACAAAGATTTTGAACTCTATCCTCTGGGGGATGGGGAGCCAATGAAGCCGGGTGGGGGTGGGGATGATGGGGTCACGGAGCCTGGTGCAGGAGAGGACACGAGCTGCAGAGTTCTGAATGATCTGCAGCTTGTGGAGGGAAGAGTTGGGAAGGCCGACAAGCAGGGAGTTGGCGAGGTTGAGCCTATATGTGATGAACATGTGGATGAGGGTTTTGGCGGCCTGAGGGGTGAGACAGTGGGCAACTGGGCGATGTTGCGGAGGTGGAGGAAGGCAGAGCGGGATGTGGCACAGATATGGGATAGGGTCATCAGGGTTCTTAAAACAACGTCCAGAGGGTATCAAAGGAAAAATATGAAAATATATAAAAGTTAAAAGACAGTCTTTAGCATTGCTCAGCATTCATTTTACAAGTGTTTACAACTTATAGTTTAGTTTGGACATGTGCAAAAGCAGCCACTTCCTCCCCTTCCCCCAACACACAAGCACTCAACCAACACAGGATACGCAGAAATCCCCCCCACCCATGCACAAGTTCCCCCTCCCCCCCACACACACAAGTTCTCCCCCACCCACCCCCCCCCATACACACATGCTCCTGCCCACCACCCCCTCACTCACACATGTTCCCCCCCCCACCCCCAAGTTTTCCTCCACCCCACACACAGGCTTCTCCCCACTCATCTTTGACACATAAATATTTGAGCATTTGCAGTCAAGAAAAGGAGCGATTGTGCAGGCACGACTGTGTCCTAGGTTTTATTGTTCATATAAAAACGTAAAACAAAACATTGGTAATTCAACTACGGGCGGGCGGGCAGGGGGGCGCAAGGTTGGGGGGAGGGTGCAGAAGTGGGGGCGAAGAGGAAGCAGGTATGTGCAACTCACAGCACCTAAAACAGTGGTCCAAGGTACAGCAGGGTTTGTGGGGACTCTGTAACAGCAATCCAGTCCACTTAGGAAAAAAACAAAACAAAAACCATCTTCACAGTAGATGTTCAACTGTAGATGTATGTTTTCCTCACAAGCAAGTAAGCAGCAGTAAGTTAACAAACAATTTAACATTTAGCTTTACCCCATTTTATTTTAAACACACCCTCCTGCCTCCCGTCACTCCTGTTACGCCCCCTCCCCCCAAATAAATCTATTTCCAGATTGTTTTCGGTGAAATGTGACTTCAATTCAAAGTAAAACGAAAAATAAGATAAACTTCAGTAAATGCGTCAGTAAATTGTGTCAGTTTGAGCGACCCTCCCCTCCCACACTGTCAAACCAAGGCAATGCCACTGCCTGGTGCCTGGGCTGTGCCCTGTTAGCCAGTCTGGGGCTGGCAAAGTGTGTCAGGGTGTGCATTCACCACAGAGAGGTCCTGTAATTGAAGTTGAGTTTCAGCAGGTACTTCATGTTGATCTGAGCCACATCGTACACAATGTATCTGAGAAGAGATTGGATAAGGAGGGGATAACATGACAGAAACTGTATAAACCACAAACAAGATGGACAAAATCCCAGCTAGGAATGCTCCACACACTGGCACTTGGGTCCGAAGGTTTCAGAGTCTCACTAATAATAATAATAATAATTCTTGCATTTGATATAGCGCTTTTCACGTCAGGAAGATGTCCCAAAGCGCTTCACAGAACACACTGTAAAGTGAATTGACTATATTTGTGGGTGAACGCGGCAGCCAATTGCGCACAGCAATGTCCCACAAACAGTCGTAGATTGAAAATGACCAATTTATTATTGTTCTTTTTTGGAGGGATTATTATTAGGCTCTGTGTGGAGTAAGGAAACTTGCCCAAGGTTTCGCCCTCTGCCTGGAATTGAACTCAGGTCTCTCACTTGCAAAGCGACTTGCTCTAATCACTGAGCTACAGGACTCCACAAATGAACCAGTAAGGACAGGTCCCATATCAACCATTATCACCAACTGTGCCTTGGGTTTATTATTCAACTACCTGCCTCTAAAATGGGTTTCGATCTGTATTTGTGGGCCAACCCAACATCCATTTTGCACACAGCGATGTCTACAAACAGCCACATGGTGAATGTCCAATCTATCTGAAGGATCCAGTATCTTAGTGGTATCCTGTGGTTTAGTGGTTAGAGAACTGGATCTGGGTTCAATTCCTGGGCAGTGCGAAACTTTGGGCAAGTTTCCATTACTCCATACGCCTGTTTACCTAGCAATGTGTAGGAACTAGGACGTTAGTCGATTGGTGGATTGCTTTTCCGGGGTAAATAATACCTTCAAAATTTAAAATAAATAAAAATAAAAAAATTGGTCACTTAATCCAGTCTGTATTCAATTGGCTGCTGTGTTTCCTCCACAACATAGTCAATTTCACTTTACAATATATTGTGTGAAGCGCTTTGAGAAGTCTGGAAGATGCGATAAGGTACAATATCAAATGTAAGGATTATTATTATTAGTGTTGCTTGATTAACGTCACCTATACATCTCAGTTTACCATCTCCTCTGAAGGGTGGCACCTCTGACAATGCAGCATTTGTCCAGTAATGACCAGACTGGATCATCAGTCTGGATTGAGATCAGATACGAGAGTGTTGCTCACTGAGCCAGCTGAGTCTATGGACCGCAGAGGATATTTTTTGTCAGTGTTTAATGTACAACTTGATCTGCAATTGGAACAGCAACGACATACTCCCTCCCTCCTCCTAGCGCCACATCTGGACCAGGATTCTGACCCGGATCCCTGTGCTCCCAGGTTAGTAAAAGGATACTCATTGTACAGTAAGCTGGAGTCAGTGGCTGGCGTCTGGACTCCTTTCCCCAGCGGCACCTCAATTCCATCCAGCTTGATAGAGGCGTTGGGATCGGGAGCCGTCTTACCCACACCTGCAAAGACCAGAGATCTCAATGACCAACAAACAACTACAGCAAATTACATTTACAGTCAGTGCCTTTCATGTTGGAAGGACGTGCTAAGGTGCTGGACGGTCAGGGATTTAGACCCGAGCAGGGGGTTGGGATAAGGAGGGGTGAAGGGTAAGGGTAGGAGTGTGGCCAAAGGTGCGGTCAAAGAGGAAGGTCTTGAGATGTTCCTTGAAGGGGGCAAGGGAGGGAGCGAGGCGAAGGGGCTTTGACATTAGCTTTTACATTACATTGACTTTAACATTGACTATTGTTGAGCAATTACTGCTGTTGCAGGAAAATACAAGAGCCCACAAACTGGTATCAAATGATTCTTTAACAGGGGATGATGGACCAGAACACAATGACCTTTGCTCTTTTCTAAAAGTGTTGTTGGTTTTCTCAGATTTCCATGAAGACAGATAGATGGGACCACAGCCAAAAGATCTCTTACAAAAAAGATTCCATCTCTAACAATGCAGCATTGAAGTTGGGAGATGGGTAAAAGAAAGAGAAAGAGATAGGGGGAAGAGGTGGGGAAGGCAGTGGGGGAAATAATAATAATAATCCTTGCATTTGATCTAGCTACTTATCACATCTTCGAGACATCTCAAAGCGCTTCACAGAATATTCCGTAAAGTGAATTGACTGTATATTCTGTGGGCAAAATGCAGCAGCCAATTGCGCACAACAGTGTCCCACAAACAGTCGTAGATTTGAGTGACCAAATTATCTGTTTTTTTTTAAAAAAGGGTTTACCCGGACACAACTGGGTTCCTACTAACTGCTAGAACCCTAAGTGGTGTGTGGAATAAGAAAACTTGTCCAACATTTCACCTTGCCTGGGTATCGCTCAGGTCTTCTCGATTGTGAGGCAAGTGCTCTAACCACTAAGCTACACAGATGGGGAAAAGGGGATGAGAGTATCACAGACACCAAACTAATGAAGGTCTCACCTTTCACACTGTGTTTCCCCTTAGGGAGTTTAGTGATGTGATTGGCTCGCTTTAACTCATACCTGGGGAAGAAAGCAAAACATTAATAACAACAAGATTACATTTGTATAACGCCTTTACAAAGCTGCGAGAAAAGGCTTCCTTTCTCCCACAAGGTTCTTAAAAATAAAATAAAAATAAAGTCCTATGTACCAAATTGGCATTTGCAGTATTTTTCTTCCCCCTAAACCAAATCCTGAGGACATCAGATGCTTTGATACCTCACCCAAGTAAACAACAACCAGAAATTACATTTATACAGCGCCTTTCAAGTCGGGAAGATGTCGCAAGGCGCTGGACAGTCATGGATTTGGACCCAGGCTAGGGGTTGGGATCAGGAGGGCAGGGTGGGTGGGGGGCTGGGGGAAGGAGGATGACCGAAGGTGCGGTAAAGATAGTGAACTGAGCTGGTTTGTGAGGGAAGAGAGAAAAACAGAGAGATTATAATTAAACCAAATCCTGTCCTGAATTGACATCCACCTTTTAGCAAGCGAAGGGAATGGGGGGAGGAGGGTGACACAAGATAATGATCAGGAGTAGAGAGAAAATTCTTCCTCCGAGATCTTTCTAACACAGGGTCGCTGAAAGCAACTCCGTATAGACCCTGGGGTAAACTGTGTCGTCGGCCTCACAATGGGGCCTTTCCCCACTCAGCCGTCAGAAGAGGGAACTTGGGAGTCGTTACTCTTCAAACAAATACAATTAATAATTGTATAATGCTGTTCTTCTGGGGAAGACTCTTAAAAACACAAAAAAATGCAAACTATTTACAAAGGCATCGATCATCACAGTATTATTTCTCCCTTCTCCCCCCACCCGCTACTCACATGTTCCCGAGAGCCACCTCAGCCAAGAGGATGAGACCCACGGGGTCAGCCTGGGAGGTGTGACAGTAGTTTGCACTTTTGGAAACCATGTCAGCAAAATAGACACCTTTTCCGAACATGTAGCCAGTCTGCAGGATGAGAGAGAGAGAAAAGCTGTTACAGAACACTCTTCCCTCTATTACCATCGCTCCCATGTCAACCATTACCACCAAGTGGCTTTTACATTAACAGGAGGAAGTAATTCAGCTTGTTTCGCCCATTCTCACACTTTATTAGCTTTCCATTTCCCTCCTCTCAGCAGGCTCCAGCTTGCTTCACATCCCCCGCCCGGCACGTCTCAAACCTTCCTCTTCGATCATGCCTTCGGCCACCCTCCTACCCCTATCCTCCCATTGGGCAGGTTTCCTTACTGCACACGCCTGTTTATCTAGCAGTAGGTAGGAACCCAGTTGTTAGTCGATTGGTGGATCACTTACCCGGGGAGTAATAATCCCTTAAAAATAAAAATAGTTTGATCACGACTGTTTGTGGGACACTGTTGTGTGTAATTAACTACCAAGTTTCGCCCGCAAAACATACAGTCAATTCACTTTACAGCAAATTCTGTGAAAGGCTTTGAGACGTCTCGAAGACGTGATTAGGCGCTATATCAAATGCAAGGATTATTATTATTTATTATTATATATTTTTTCAATCATTTTGTCCAGTTCCCTATTAAAAGCTCCCTCAAGATTCGGCTTCAATTTGATCTTGGTAGGTAATTTAACTTTTAAAAAAAATTTCTCCTAAAAGTTCTCCCTTTAGTTACTTTTATCTTAAATTAGTTACCAACCCACCAACCCCATCAGTTGAGACATACAGCAACAACAACTAGCATTTATACAGCGGCCTTCACGCAGGGTAGCGTCCCAGAGCGCTTGACCCACTCCTGAACCCTGATCTGCCCATCACTCACCACTGGAGCCTCGGGCGGTGCGATGCGCAGACCCTGTGACAAGATGCCAGCATAGTTGGTGGCTCGGGAGCCGTGCCAGAGGAGTTGGCGATTGTGGAAGTCGCTGAAGGGTTTGAATCGCTGCCCCTCCCCGTCCCGCCGCACCTTGAAAATCTGAGGAGAGGAAAGAAAGCATCCCGAGTTTACATCACATCTCCACTTCAAAGTAAATCATCACAGAGAAAGCTTTGATCTGTTATGATTGGAAGAAACTAATGTTCCACAAAGGCATTCAGTGAAGGAGATGGATGAAAGGTATATTTATACAGCACCTTTTATGCAGGGATCCATGGGGTCGCAGAAGAGAGAGAGGAGTGTAAGTGGACTGAAAAGAGACGTTGGTCAATGTTTTTTAAGGAGGGTATTGAAGGCAGGGAGAGGAGAGGAACCAAACGGCAATTTCTGGCAAAGTTCTCACCTCCACCACCTCCAGGTCATACTGGTTGTGAGTCGCAGCATGTGTGTTCTTGACGTACTCCATAATGATTTTTGCTTCATCCGTGGTTTTGTCCAGAACCTGAGGTGAGGTTTCAAAAAGATCCCACAAAAGGGTGTCTATAACTAAAACAATTGATAAGATTCTTCATCAAGTGTGTCGTTTGCCAGCATTTACTCTGTGTAAAGAAGTTTTCTTTTTCTAACCTCCCCTTGATTATTTTCATCATTACTGTTCATCAATGACTCGTTGTCTCCAGCGCTGTGGTAATAATCCATTAGTATTTACCCTTTGTAAACTCTCACACCCCTCATCAGCTGTCCAGCGCTCCAGGAAGCTACCCTACGTGAAGGCTGCTATAATATATGAAAGTTGTTGTTCAATTCTCCCTTGAAAGTGCTGACTCATCTGCCTCTCAATTCTGTGAATTACCCACTCAGCCCTCTCTCTCTCTCTCTATAAAGCAATGAAATTAAGACCTACAAAGATCCTCAGACATGTTTTCAAATCCCTTCATGCCCTGGCATCTCCCTACCTCTCCAACCCATTTCCCGCTGCCACCGCTCAACTGGTTCCAGCCTCCTGCATGACCCTTGTGCCCTCCGTTCCACCATTACGCTCTGAAACTCAGTCACTCTCTCCCTGAATCCTTCCACCTGGCCCCTTCCTTCCCCACCTTCAGATTGCGCCTGAAGACCTTCCTCTTCAACCGTGCTTCAGTCACCTCCCCCCGGCTCAGTGTTATGCTCTCCACTGTCAAGTGCTCTGGGATGATACCCTGTGTGCGGGGCACTAGATAACTGAAAGTTGTTGTTGTTAAAATGTAAACTGACTACTTTGGGGGGTTTACAATTTACCTCAATGTTGGTGTGAAGCTTCTCATAATTGATATCAATGGGATCTTTTCCCTCGTCTTCCTTCCCACCTTTCAGTAGGCTGTAGGCAACTTCAATGTCCAGGAGATTGTCCAACATCTGAACCTTGGCCTGGGGAAGTGCAAATGGAGGGAATTAAGGAAGAAAACACAATTAGATTGAGGATGTAGAATTGTAGACTATTTTTCTGCACAGAAGATGCAATGATATACAGTGAAACCTAGTTGTAGCACAGCATCTAAAACACCCAGAGGGAGAAAATCAAAAGATGGCTTTGCAGTCCTTGCCAGGCTCCACTGGCTCCCAATTACTGAACAGATCGATTTCAAGATCCTCTCACTCATTTTCAAATCCCTTCTGTCCTCGCACCTCCCTACCTCTCCGACCTGCTTACCCCCCACTGCCCCAAACTCAGCTGGCTCCGGCCTTTTTGTCCCTTGTTCCCTCCGCTCCACCATCTGTGGCCGTGCCTTCAGCCACTACGACCCGAAACGCTGGAATTCTCTCTCAATCCCTCCGCCTTGGACTCTCCAGCCCCACTTTCAAATCCCGCTGAAAGACCTTCCTTTTTCAGCACCTTGGGGCGTTCTCCCGACATGAAACGCGCTTTACAAATGTAATTTTGTTGTTTTTGATCGTGCTTACAGAACCTCTCCCCTCCCTCTGCCCCTGGCTCAGTCTCAGACTCTGCCACTGTAAAGCGCTCTGGGACACTACCCTGTGTGAACTTCTTCTTGTTGGGTCAGAAGGTTGTGGGTTCAGTGCCCATAATGGAACTTGAACTCATACTCCAGGCTGATGCTGCAGTGCTGCAATCTTTCATCTTTTCTCTCTCACTCGCAGTCTTTTTCTCGCTGTTGTTTTCTCTCATGCTTTCACATTCTCTCTCTCTCTTTATACCCTTGCCAAAAATTCTCCAGGACCCTACCCCGCATGAAGGACGCTACATAAATGCAAGTTGTTGTTGTTTGCAGCCCATGGATGGGAAGGCTTCCCAAACCAGGGAATTTAATCTGATTGCAGCTGATGAGGTGAAAGGCTCTTCTGAACGTCAGCTGTGAGGGTCCTGCGTGAGATGAGTTTGTGGCCACTTAACCCCCTTCCCAGTTGGCTATCACAACATGAAAATAAAGCCCTCTCTCTATTCAGGACCAAATTGGAAATGGCCTTCAAGAGAGACGCCATCGGATGGTTGGATTGGGGAATGTTACCTGAGATCAGGAGATAAGAGGCCGCTACAACTTACAATTTCAGTTTCTAAAGGGGCTGTAGATCATGACAGGCTATTTCAACTTGTCCAGAATACACAGCCTGCGATTAAAGGGGAGTAAATTCAAAACAAAACACTACTTCAGTGAGCAAATAGTAAATCTGTGGAACAGGCTCCCTAAGGAGACAGTTGAAGCAGGAAGTATTGATTCTTTCAAACACAGATTAGATAGTTTTCTTTTAGGAAATTACATTATGGGGTATAGTACATAAGTAGTTTGGGACATAGGTGCATGCGACCGGCAGGAAGGTGGAAGACAAACTAGATGGATCTCTTGGTCTTTCTTTCGTCTATCATTTCTTATGTACAATATCTCATCACAGAAACCGCTCAATGCCAACACTGTTGCTAAGAAATGGATAGAAACTAGGACCTCAACCGCTCCCTCCCTCCCTCCCTTCCTTCCTCCCTCCCTCCCACCCAAATATTCTCCTAAACCTAGTACAGGTCCCCTTGGTCACCTGAATATAGTCTTCATTGTTTAAGAGGGCTGGTTTCTTCATTCCAAAGTCATGGGGTATGAGTGTGTAGAACCTGTTGGACAGATCCAGGATCTGAGACTCGGAACCACTGCTTGAGACAACCTGAGAACAAACAGAACATCTGAACAAACTGCTTGTGCTCAACACAAAATTTTCTCTTTAGAGGCTGTAGCTTGGCTCAGTGGGTCACGCGCTTTCTTGCCTCCAACTTAGAAGGTTCCTGGTCAGAACTTTGAACTCAGTATAAGCTAACCTCCCATGCAGTCACGATTTTCTTGAGTAAGGAGCCTCCACTGCATTGTTGGACGTGTCACCTTCTGTATAAACACAGAAGTGGCTGGGAACACGCAGCAGCAGGTCAGGCAGCGTCCATGGAGAGAGGAAAATGAGTTAACATTTCAGGTCAATGACCTTTCATCAGAACCTTTTTTAAGAAATGTTCCATCTAGGTCTTGGACGTTTAAAGATCCCGTGATTCTATTAGAAAAGAGGAAGGAGGTTCTCCCCGTGTTTTGAGCCAGCAATCCTCCAGATAAAACCGGTCGGATGGTCAGCTTGTGGTTACTCGTGCTGCACTTGCTTAGAAAAACAGTCACCATGTGTTGTTAATCACCATGAAGCTTTGTTGAACTGTTTATAATAATAACAAGAACCTGGATTTATATAGCGCCCTCCACGCTGGACGGCGTCTCAGAGCGCTTCACAGTAACGGATCCTGGGGCCGAGCCAGGGGGAGGGGGAGGAAGGTGACCAAAGGCGCGGTCGAAAAGCAAGGTCTTCAGCAGAGACCTGAAAATAGGAAGAGGTGAAGAGAGTGAGGAAGGGAGTTCCAGAGCCTCGGGGCGTAATGGTGAAGGCATAGCTGCCGAGGGTGGAGGAGGACTCAGTGGACAAGGAGGAGGCCAGACCCGGTGGAACGAAGGCAACGGGAACTGATTTGAGAGAGGTCAGCGAGGTAGGGGGGTGCAGAGGAGTGGAGGGACTTGAAGACAAGGGTGAGGATCTTGAAGTCGATTCCCTCTGGGATAGGCAGCCAGTGCAGTCTGACAAGGACTGGGGTAATCGGGGAGCGGAGTTTGGTACGGGTGAGAATGCGGGCGACAGAGTTTTGTATGACAGAGTTTTGTTTTCCATGATTGAATGGCGGGGCAGGCTCGAAGGGCCGAATGGCATACTCCTGCTCCTACATGTTATGTTATGAACTGGATTTTATGAATGGTAATGGAGGGAAGGCCGGTGAGGAGGGCGTTAGAGTAGTCCAGCCAGGCAGGCTGACAGAACATCAGGGGACTGGGGGTCGCAAAGAAGGGTGGAAAAATAAAGTTGGGTGTCGTCCGCGTACATGTGGAAATGTACCCCATGTCTGCGGATGACATCCCCAAGAGGGAGCTTGTAGATCAGAAAGAGGAGGGGGCCAGGAATGGATCTTTGGGGTACCCCGAATCTAACCCAGTGCGAGCGGGAGGAGAAGCAGATGTACTGCTGGCGTTTTATGAGGTAGGACTCGAACCAGACGAGTGCGGTCCCACTGAGGTGGATGACGGAGGAAAGATGGAGGAGGATGGCGTGATCGACTGGGTCGAACGCGGCGGAGAGGTCCAGGAGGACAAGGAGGCAGAGGGAGCCCTGGTCACAGATAGAGAAGATGTCGTCTGTGACTTTCACAAACGCAGTCTCTGTACTGTGGACAGGACGGAAACCGGACTGGAGGGGTTCGAAGAGGGAGTGGGAGAAGAGGTGTGCACAAAGTTGATTTGCAACAATGCATTCTGGGACTTTTGCGAGGAAGGAAAGGTTAGAAATGGGGCAGTAGTGGCTGGGGTTTGAGGGATCTAGGGAAGGTTTTTTGAGGAGAGGGTGATGACAGCAGTTTTGAGGGGGGCAGGGACTGATCTGGAGGAGAGGGACCGGTTGATGACATCAGCCAGTAGTGAGCAGAGGAGGGAGAACTGGGTGACCAGCAAGTTGGTGGAGAAGGGGTCAAGGCAGCAGGTGGTGGGTTTCATGGAGGTGATGGTGGGTGAGAGGGAGGAGGGAGAGATGGGGAGGAAGGAATGTAGGATGGGGGTGGTAGTAGGAGCAGATGATGGGGAGGGTGAGGGGGACAGAGAGAGGGTGGTGATGGGTGACAAGCGGCACGTGGATGAGGCTGCCTGGCGGATGTTATGTATTTTAGATGAAAAGAAGTCCATGACCTCCTCACACTTGGCATTTGATATGAAGATTGAGGAGGCCTGAGGGGGGGCACGGAGGAGGTAGTGGGTGGTAGGGATAAAAGGATTTTAGGGTTGTGTTTAACCTCCAAGATGATGTTGGAGTAGAAGGCTGTTTTTGCGCGTGCCAAAGAACGACGGTAGCTGTGGAGATGCTTGAGCCACAGTTGGCGGTGAACTGTCAGGCCAGTTTTCCTCCATCTGCGCTCGAGCAGCCGGGTTTGGGTTTTTAGGCAGTGGAAATGCCAAATTAATAATAATTTGGTCACTCAATCACACTGCTCTGTGCAATTGGCTGTTCCGTTTCACCCACAAACTGTACACTCAATTCACTTTACAGTATATTCTATGAAGAGCTTTGACACGTCTCAAAGACGTGATAAATAAAACGCTATATCAAATGCAAGGATTATTATTATACACATCAAAAAGTATTGCTTTGCACAGAAAATAATTATCACCTGAAACAGGTTACCAGGTATTGTAGTTGAGGCTAAGATGCTGGACTGATTAATTTATGATGTCACAAGGCGTAGGGGAGATTGAGGGTGAGTATTTTGAAAGGTGGAGATCAGATGGGCCGAACCTTAGTTAAGATTGCCCATTTCTGGCCCCTGCCTCCATACCCCACGTGGAAGGGACAGGGGTTCCTCTGGACTCTGGCCTACCTGCTGCACTTCATTGAGGATGGAGTATGCACTCTGGATCTGTCTCTTGCTCAGTTTCCCCAGCGGCATCTTCTGTAAATCGATCTGTTGGTGAAGGATTGTGAGTGAGTGACCAACATCTAATAAACCAACAGCAGGAAACAACTAAGATATAGTGCCCCCAGCTCCCCCCGTCAGCGGTCCTACCCTCTCCCCTTCCCCAGGCTTCCAACCCCCCTATCCACCCAGCCTCCCTCCTTAACTCCACCCCTCACAGCCTAGCCACCCATCCCCCAAAACCTCCCCTGCCCCACACCGTCTCCTCTGGCTCACTATACCTCAAACTCCACCATGGCTTTCTTCATGCTCTCCACATCAAAGATCATCTTGATGAGATCCTGAACGGCACGGTCCAGCTTGGATTTGGTGCCTGAGCTGGCGGTCAACTTCCGCACAGCCTCCTCATCCTGGACATTGCGGGGAGCAAGAGAGAGAGCGACAGAGAGAGAGAGAGCAGCAGAAATTAATGCTAAAGTAGCTATTCCCACAAGAGAAAATTGTAATGTGTGGCGAGTGCTTCCCTGACAATGTACCAAGTGTTTCACCCCGGGACTCACTCCCCCCCAGTTCCTGGGACAAGCAGTTTTAACAATAAATGTAAACTTGGGAATCCTGTAGTTCAGTGGTTAGAGCACTCGCCTCGCAAGCGAGAGGACTTGGGTTCGATTCCCGGACAGGGCGAAATGTTGGGCAAGTTTCCTTACTCCACACACCTCTGTTTATCTAGCAGTAAGTAGGAACCCAGTTGTTAGTCAATTGGCAGATCGCTTTTCTGAGAGGTAATAATCCCTTCAAAAAAATTTTAAAAAAAATTTAGTCCCACAATCCACGACTCTTTGTGGGACACTGCTGTGCGCAATTGGCTGCTGCGTTTCATCCACAAAATATACAGTCAATTCACTTTACAGTATATTCTGTGAAGCGCTTTGAGATGTCTTGAATACGTAATGAGGTGCTATATCAAATGCAAGGATTATTATTATTTTATTATATTATTAAACTTGTGACTGTTTCTTAATTAACCCCACCGTTGCTATATAGAACTGTTTAAGCACACTACTCCCACATTCCGATTCCATCCAGTCACGTCTCCTGGTTAGGTGGTAGTAAAGGAATCCCAGGAAATTGACGAGTTTATATGGTCAGTTTGCTGGTGTGGGGCTACGATCACAGTTGTAACTCCACATGAGAAGTTTTACCTCTTGGGGAAATACTATCCTCTGGGGGTGGGGCAGGGGAAGGTAAGTGAGGTCTCCTTGGAGCTGAATTATACTATAATTTAAAGAATATTCTGTGAAGCGCTTTGAGATGTCTAAAGACATGAAAAGGGATATATCAAATGCAAGTATTATTATTATGCCTGGCAATGGAATGTTGGAATCGAGCCAGCCCTCTGCGACAGTCTCTAGTCTGGTTCCTGAGCCGGGCGGGTCCGCAGTATTCCAGGGCACTGCGGATGTCAGCACAGCACAGCCCGGCTCATCGGCAGGACCTGGAGGACAGACTAGTCACTGGGGGTACGGAGTCATCCCAGTCATCCTGTTAACCCTTCAAGCCAAAGCCCTAATGGGTAGGGTGGTCCTAGCTGGACAAGCAGCGGGAAAGTTTACCAGACAGCAATATCAATGACAAGCTATGCGGTTTTAGCTGGTTAGTCTCCAGCAGTTACCCCAACACACTCTCTGGGGGAAATGCCTGTTTGCTCCTCACCTGCCCATAGTCGATCTCCAGGGGGTAGAACTTGTTGGGGAACTTATTGAAGGTCTTGGAATGCCAGGCGTTGCCCGTCTTCTCCTCGTATAGCGCCAAGAAGTGCTCCACCGCCTCCTCCTTAGACGACATCTTCTCCAGCTTGTTGCCCCCAATGGTGGTACCCACCCGGCCCCAGGCACGGAAAACCCAGTACCTGCAGCGACGGCAGAGGGTCAGAATAGCCTCAGCCAGAATGTATGTTTGAATTGAATGTATATTTTGTGGGCGAAATGCGGTAGCCAATTGCACACAGCAGTGTCCCATAAACAATCGTGGAATGAGTGACCAAATTATTATTATTTTTCTTGAAGGGATTATTACCCCAGGAAAAGCGATCCGCCAATCGACTAACAACCGAGTTCCTACTTACTGCTCGGTAAACAGAGGCGTGTGGGGTAAGGAAACTTGCCCAACGTTTTGCCCGGCCCAGGAATCGAACCCAGGTCCTCTCGCTTGCGAGTGCTCTAACCACTGACCTACAGGACTCCACAGAATACAAAAGACAACTTTTATATACATGTAACAGAGAAAGATTTATATAGCACAGCCCAGCCTGGCTCATTGGCAGGACCTGGAAGTGCAGACCAGTCACTGGGGGCGGGGAGTCATCCCACTCAGCTCCTGTTAACTCTGCAAGCCAAAGCCTAATGGGTAGGGTGGTCCTCGCTAGACAAGCAGCGGGAAAGCTTGCTACAAAGTGCTCTCAATGGAAGTTTTGTGGTTTTAGCTGGTTAGACTCCAGCAGTGACCCCAACACACACTCTGGGGCCCCCAAGCCTTGGCTCTTGCCAACCTGCGCCTAATGCTTTCCGGAATTAGGTAAACAGGCTGTGTCCCTCCAGGGAGAGAGTGCGCATTCCATTCCAACAATCTATCTCCAGGATTTCCATGTGTTGGTGGGATGCATGGAAACCTCAGCTTGGTTTGGATATTCTTAAGCACGGTGATGGGTTTCTGCCTGTGTCAGTCAGACACCCGGCTGAGCAAAAAGAAAACACACACATACACTGGGGCAACAGACATATACACATCAGACACATACACACAGGTGAGACATGGACATGCGCACACAACACACACAGAAGCAAGCGACAGCACACACACACACACACAGGCAGGCAAACTCGGTCAGTGACAGACGCACCGCACCTTCTCTTGTTGTCATCCTCCAAGAGCTGCAGTTTGTAATAGGAGTTAGTGCCGCGGGAGATGTCCACCAGCCCCAGTGTGGCGCTGAGCATCTTACCGTTCTGCTCGAAGACGTGAGTTGAATCCTCCAGCCCTGAAACCAGCAAGGGGAGGTGTGGAACCAATTAGCCTTTCGACAGTCCATGTACCCATTTCCTCACTTTTCTACACCAACTATGGAGCATCTATGGAAAGAGGAAAGTGGGTTAACGTTTCAGGTCAATGACCTTTTGTCAGACCCGAAACATTAACCCACTTTCCTCTCTCCATAGCTGCTGCCTGACCTGCTGAGTGTTCCCAGACATTTCTGGTTTTATTTCACCCCTTTATCCTCCTTGGTTCTAGTGATGAGAACCCACAGCTACCAGGCCTTTCACCACAGCACTTATGAATTGAACAGCCACTGAGATCCATTCACCTACAGATAAGAGTGAGCTGTAACCCGGTGTGTGTGCGAGGAGCTGAGTTGTGCTTACCCGAGTCAGGATCCACAGCAGCTCCACCTTTCACCGTCAGCTTCATTTTCTTCTCCGATTTGCTGGATCCTGTGACACATTAGACGCACAATGGGTACAATCTTTCAGGGTTCAGCACAAAGAACAGGGTGTGTATGTTGGGGGTGGGGGGGCTGGTGGTGCGAGCGAGCCTGACTGAGGAAAGCTGCTGGAAAACGTAAAGTGTAGTGACTGTATATTTTGTGGGCGAAACACAAGAGCCAATTGCGCACAGCAGTATCCCACAAACAGTCGTGGATTGAGTGACCAAATTATTATTAGTAGTAGTATTATTTTTTTGAAGGGATCATTACCCACGGAAAAGCGATCCGTCAATCGACTAACAACCGGGTTCCTACTTACTGCTGGGTAAACAGAGCCATGCGGAGTAAGGAAACTTGCCCAACGTTTCGCCCTGCCCGGGAATCGAATCCAGGCCCTCTCGCTCACGAGGCGAGTGCTCTAACCACTGAACTACAGGACTCCATTCCCGCTTTCACTCAATTCCTCTCCTTCAACTTAACTCAGTCAGTCGTACTCTCACCTCTTTTAGAGGTCAGTCACAGATAGTGGGGTGCAAGCCCCATGTCAAGCCTTTGAGCTCCACGATCTCAACTGACACTTTGATGCAGTACTGGAGGTAGAGCTGCATTGTGGAGATGCCATCCTTTAGATAAGACATTAAAGGTTTGTCAGCTGGGCTCAGTTGGTAGCATTCTCGCTTCTTAGTCAAAAAGCTATGTGTTCAAACTTCACATTGGGAATTTCAACTCAGAGTGTAAGCTGACTTTCGAACTCAGTGATGGGGGTGCGTTGCGTTGTTGGGAGGTGCTGTGGTTCAGATAAGACTTTTAAACCCAAGATGCTGTCTGCTTGTTCAGGTGGATGTTAAAAGATCCCACGGGTCTATTCAAAAAGAGAAGGGAATTTCTCCTGGTGTCTGGCCAACAATCCCCCAAATAATAATACTTGATGGCTGCTTGGGGGATATTGCTGTGTGCACATTGGATGTCGTGTTCACCTTCAAATACACAGTCACTCCACTTTACAGTAAATACCGTGAAGCACTTTGGGATGTCCTCCTGACATGAAAGGTGCTATACCAAATACAAAGATTATTATTAATAACATAACAATAAACCAAAGTCCTGTAAAATTCCCATGGGAGTATTGACAAAGAGAAGAGTCGCCTGGCCAACAATCCTCCAGTAAGAATTGGGCATTCACTTTGCTTGTGGAACATTGCTGTGCTATTTGAACATAGATCCTTCCTACCTCAGTGACCTGCTAACACTATATCAACCTGTCCACTCCCTCCACTCAGCAGGCTCTGGTCTGCTCTACGTCCCCCGCCCGGCCTACCCCACCATCACCGGTCTGACCATCAACCTCTCTCCCCCCACTTTTTGGAACTCCATTCCACAGTCCCTTCATCTCGCTCCCTCCATCCTTCAAGGCCCATTTCAAGATCCTTCTATTCAGATCCTCCTTTTTTTCCCCTTTCTGAGCCAAGCCCCAGCTTGGGTCCAAATCTCTGACTGTTCAGTGCCATGGGATGTCCTCCCGACGTGAGAGGCGCTGTGTAAATGTCATTGGCAAGTTTCCTTACTCCACACGCCTAATAATAATCCCTCCAACACAAAACAATAATAAACTGGTCATTTTCAATCTACCAATCTACCAATTCACTTTACAGTATATTCTGTGAAGTGATTTGAGACGTCTCGGAGGTGTGACAAGGTGCGATATTAAATGCAAGGATTGTTATTATATTATGATGAGTATTTATGAGCTCAGACCTGCTATCTCCCTCCCCTCCGACTACCAAGCGCCATTACCTTCCTCGTGCTTGACCTTGGCGCTAGAGCTCTTCCCTGTGGTAGCTCTGCTGGGCTTCTCCTGGGCGCGTGGCTGAGGGTTGCTGGGCTGGGCCTTCACCTCTGCCCCCCAGGGCGAGATCCCGTGTGTCAACAGCAGCTCCTGGAGGGGAGCCTTCCCCGATTTCAGGTCCTCCAGAATGTCACACAACACAACCTGTACTCCCGCCTCCTTCAGCTCCTCCATCTTCTTGCTCATCTTCTCCACCTCCCCTGCGACCAAGGACAAAGAACCAGACGGGGAGATTAATATTAGTATCAGACCTTAACCACAGCTCCCATCTTCGCTCAGCCTTGCCTCCCCCCACTCCCCCACCTTCTATAACTATTAACACATCCTCTGGGTCTCTCAGACATCTTTTCTTTCTATGATCTCATATTGTAATATATTAAGTAATATATTATAAGTAATCTATATTACTTTTCCGGGGTTAATAATTCCTTCAAAAAATAAAAATAATAATAAATTGGTCATTTCAATCCACGACTGTTTGTGGGACACTGCTGTGCGCAATTGACTGCCGCGATTCGCTCACAAATATACAGTCAATTCACTTTACACTATATTCTGTGAAGAGCTTTGAGATGTCTCGAAGACTTGATAAGCCGCTATATCAAATACAAGGATTATTATTATTATTATTGCTGTCAGTTGTCCTGAACCATCAACACCTCTGATCTCATCATCTCCTGTTCCTCCACCTCATTTGTTCGATTGTCTTTTTTTCCCCGTCCCCTTCTCTGTTTGTCCTTATAATCTGCTCCCTTCCAACATCCCCCAGTTCTGACGAAAGATCATCGACCTGAAATGTTAACTCAATTCCCTGATGCAGCCTGACCTGCTGCGTGTTCCCAGCTACTTCTGTGTTTATATTAGGGAAATGAAATACGCCAGGTTAATGGGAAACCACCAGAACAGATCCCCTCACACAGATCCGCACAACGTACACATCCACCCAATCATAACTATTCACACAGCAGAAACAATCAGGTAATTAAAAGGGAATTAGATAAGCACACATAGGGTAAGGCATTAATGTGTACACAGGGAAAGAGCAAGGGAATTGGGATCAGTCTTGAATAGTCTTGATTAGAAGTCCAGCGCCTTGGGACATCCTCCCAACGTGGAGGCGCTGTACAAATGTCATTTTGTTGTTGTGGGTCTAGATGGCTTTACTGGAGGAGCAAACAATGACACAGATACAGTGGGTGGAATAGTGTTGTAGAATTGTGGATCTCTCTCTCTCTCTCTCTCTCTTGGTCATTTCCTTACTCTTTGAGCTGATGCACAGCGTTGCCTTGTTGACTGTCGTGGTGGTCTTTCCTCCGAGTTCCTCCACCAGCGTCTTGGCCTCATCCTTGTTCTTGGACATTTTGCCCACGAGCAGGACCTTCATGTCTGTCAGAGGCTTGTCTATGTTACCAAAGTGGGAGGTGGGGGGAGGGGTGGGTGCGAGGCAGGTGGAAAAGAAAAAGGCAGCATTAAATTCAGATACAACCTCCACTCCCGCCATCACTGTCCGCTCCCTCTTCTCAGCAGGCTCCGGCCTGCTCCACGTCCCCCGCCCGGTCCACCCTACCATTGGCGATCAGACTTCAGCCTCTCTGCCGCCACCCTTTGGAACTCCATCCCACAGTCCCTTCGCCTCGCTCCCTCCCTTGCCTCCTTCAAGGCACATCTCGAGACCCTCCTCTTCGATGGTGCATTCGGCCACCCTCTTACCCCTACCCTCCCTGCCCTCCACTTCTCCTGATCCCAACCCCCTGCTTGGGTCCAAATCCCTGACTATCCAGCCCTTTGGGACGTCCTCTCAACGTGAAAGGCGTTGTGTAAATGTCATTTTATATTTTGTAATGTTTCAAACCAAAATATATCTTGTAACTCAACGATTAAATACAGGATGACCAATAAGTCGTGATATCTACCCTATTATCTAAAACAAAACAAAAAATATCTTCATTTCTTTAAGACTGATCAGACATTGTAATGGTATCACTATTTGGTCACCCTGTAATTGAAATTGGGAACGTCGTAACAGGATATGAGGTCAAGTCTTTGAAATATGAGCTCAAGCAGGAACTTACACTTAACAACATTTAGGCCTTAAATATATAGTGAAAGATAAAAATGAGCAATCTGGGAGTTTTTAATAACTCCCCCAGGCCTCAGTCAGGCCTGAAATTCCTAGGAATTCCCAATAGTCTCAATGTCAACAGCAAAATTACATTTGTATGGCTCTTTTCAGGTCGGGAGGATGTCCCATGTGGGTGGGGGGGAGGGGGGAGAACGTGTGTGTGTAGGGAAGAACTTGTGGGGAGGGGGAGAACTTGTGTGTGTGTGTGTGTAGGGAGGGGGTGAAGAACTTATAATAATAATCCTTGCATTTGATATAGCGCTTTTCACGTCGGGAGGACGTCCCAAAGCGCTTCACAGAACACACTGTAAAGTGAATTGACTGTATATTTGTGGGCGAACGCGGCAGCCAATTGCGCACAGCAATGTCCCACAAACAGTCGTAGATTGAAAATGACCAATTTATTATTGTTTTTGGTTTTGGAGGGATTTTTATTAGGTGTGTGGAGTAAGGAAACTTGCCCAAGGTTTCGCCCTGTGCCTGGAATTGAACTCAGGTCTCTCACTTGCAAAGCGAGTGCTCTAACCACTGAGCTACAGGACTGTACAGGACTGTGTGGGTGGGGGGGGAGAACTTGTGTACGTGGGGGGGAGGGGGAGAACTTGTGTGTATGTGGGGGTGTGGGAGGAGAACTTGTGTGTGTGTGTTTGTGTGCGCGAGGGAGACAATTTGTGTGCGAGTGTGTATGGAGGGGAATTCTGCATATCCTGTATGTGAGTGAGTCATTGTGTGTTGGGGGAAGTGGCTGCTTTTGCACGTATCCAAACTTGTGAAGTCCTGTAGCTCAGTGGTTAGAGCTCTCGCCTCGCAAACAAGGCTTGATTCCTGGGCAGAGCGAAACATTGGGCAAGTTTCCTTACTCCACACACCTAATAAAAATCCCTCCAAAACCAAAAACAATAATAAATTGGTCATTTTCAATAACCCGGTTGTTAGCTGATTGGTGGATCGCTTTCTGGGGGTAATAATCCCTTCAAAAAATAATAATAATTTGGTCGCGACCATTTGTGGGACACTGCTGCGCACAATTGGCTGTGTTTCACCCACAAAATATTCAATTCACTTTACAGTATATCCTGTGAAGCGCTTTGAGATGCCTCGAAGACCTGATAAGGCGCTATATCAAATGCAAGGATTATTATTCTTAACGACATATTATTGCTATTATTACTACATTGTTCCTGTTTCTGCACGTGGGGCCGGGGTGGCCTATGTCTCCCGAGGGGCGACTTGGCCTTGGCACAGGAAGAGGGCCTTGAAGGCGTGGTAGGAGCTATATCAATTGGAAGGATTATTTTTATTGATTATTTATTGATGAATACTGAGGCCTTGCTTTACTTAAGCATATTCAGGCAGCAAATTCCCTAACCACAAGCCCCCAGCCTGACGTTTACCTTTGAGCGTTGAAGAGGGGCTGATCTCAGTGAGGGTGGAACTCGGGGTGTCAGTAGGTTGAACGGATGGCCCAAGAATACGATCCTGCCTCTTAAACTTGAACTTCTTTAAGAAAGGTACCTCGTGGAAGGCCTGGGAGGGACAAGAGAAAAGAGGTCACATGTCTACAGAGGCTCTCCTTTGCCCACCTCCTCTCCCTCGCCCCCTCCCCCTCCCCCCGCATCCCCCTTCTTTTCTCCCCCTCCCCTGCCTGGGAGCTGACCTTGGGGATAACCCAGTCTTTGCGGTTCGGTGTATGGACGCTGAAGGTGCACTTGGTCCAGGCAGTGATGTTGCCGGTGCAGTAGTAAGCGTCGCTCTTGAACACCAGCTGCCCCTTACACTCCTCGCAGGGCTGCAGGGCACCAAAGGCCATCCCGTCTGACACCCTGTCCAGGATCTAGGAACGAAACATACACTATAAACACTCGGGAAGAGAAGCCATAACTTTCCTCCCAGCTTACGCTCTCTGGCCCGGGCTTCCTCACCACACACTGTCACCGTTCTCGCCACCAATTTATTAGATCATGGTAGATGTTAATAATAATCCTAACATTTGATATAGTGCCTTATCACGTCTTCGAGACATCTTAAAGCGCTTAACAGCATATACTGTAAAGTGAACTGATTGTCTATTTTATGGGCAAAACACAGCAGCCAAATGCGCACAGCAGTGTCCCACAAACAATCATGGATTGAGTGACCAATTTATTATTATTATTTTCTTTGAAGGAATTATTAGCCCTGGAAAAGCGATCCCCCAATCGACTGACAACCGGGTTCCTAGTTATTGCTAGGTAAAAGAGGCTTGTGGTGTAAAGAAACTTGCCCAACATTTCAGCCTGCCAGGAATCGAACCCAGATCCTCTCACTTGGGAAGTGAGTGCTCTAACCACTAAGCTACAGGGCTCCACGGTATTAATTCTATTTCCTGTCTTTTCTCTGTAATCGATTATTTACTTGTGGCTTTTACACAGTTTCTACACACGGTCAAGGTAGGAGCTACAAACTGCGTCCTGGCCAAACAGGGGCTTTTTGTTCCCCCCAGTTGATTGACTTTTAAGATCCTCATCCTGACCAAATTCCTTCATTGGTTTGCCTCCCGTTACCTCTGTAACACGTTTCAGCCTGACTCACCTCCCGCCCCTCCCACTGTCCTGCTGCTCACTCATGTCCTCCCTCCATTTTGCAATCAAGGCTGAGAACATCAGCAACTTCACACCCGCTTGAATCCTTTCCATAAATCTCACCTTGAGCCAACCCTCCCACCAGTAGGCCCATCCCCCCACCCAGTAGGCTCATGCTCGTCCCTCCCACAGGTTTGGAACTCCACCTCACAGTCCCTTCACTTCACTCCCTCCCTCGTCTCCTTCAAGGCACGTCTCAAGACCCTCCTCTTCGGCTGCGCCTTCTGCCCTCTCTTACCCCTACCCTCCCTGCCCTCCACTCCTCCTGATCCCAATCACCAGCTCGGGCCCAAATCCCTGACTGGCCAGGGCCTTGAGACGTCCTGCCGATGTGAAAGGTGCTGTATAAATGAAATTTATTATTATTGTTGTTTGTGGTGGTGATTCTTGTCCAGTCAGACTTTAGGAGTGCACTGACCTTCCCCACCCCCTCCATATTGGCGAGCGAGCAAGCAAACAAGGACTCACCGCAGACTCTCCCGACGGAACCTCCTGTTTGTTTGAGATCAGAAGCTCTTTCATGTCGTTGGTGGAGCACGATTTCTTCAGCTCGTCCTTTATGTTCCAGATCAACTGTGTCTGTTCCTGCAGAGTACACACATCAGAGCACAGCCGGTAACAGGAAACAACAACAACAAGCAGAGCACCGCAACTCATCATCTCATGTGCTTACCCTCTCAAGACCCTCCTCTTCGACTGTATCTTTGGCCACCCTTTTACCCCTACTCTCCCTGCCCCCCAGCCTTCCTGATCCCAACCCCCTGCTCGGGTCCAAATCCCTGACTGTCCAGCACCTCGGGATGTCCTCCCAACATGAAAGGCGCTGCACACGTGTAATTTGCTATTGCTGTTGTTAATAGTTGCACCCAAGTCCTTGCCAGGCTCCACTGGTTCCCAATTACCAAACTGACCAATTTCAAGATCTGATTTGCTTGCCTCCCACTCCACCTCCTGTTTGACCCTCATTGGCCATGCCTTCAGCCACTATGGTCCGAAACTCTGGAATTCTCTCCCTCAATCCCTCCGTCTTGCCCTCTCCCTCCCCACCTTCAAATCCTGCCTAAATACCTTCCTTTTTGAATGTGCTGGCGGGCCCCTCCCTGTCCCCCTGGCTCAGAGTCAGACTCTGTCACTCTGGGATGCTACCCCATAAAAATTGTTGTAACAAGCAGAGTACAGCTCCCATACACACAAGTAAAGGTAGTGTGAGAGTAGCCGCTTTACTGAAGAGAAAAAACAATCAGAGCTTAGCCTGTTGCTTGTGAACAACAACAACTTGCATTTATATAGCACCCTTCACACAGGGTAGTGTCCCAGAGCGATTGACAGTGGAAAAGCACAATGCCAAGCCAGGGGGAGGAGACCGTAGGCACGGTCGAAGAAGAAGGTCTTCAGGCACCACCTTTATTGATTGGCCTTTATCTCAAAAGGGCTGGAAGATAAAGAAGAGGAAATGATGCTTCAGCTATATCGAGCCTTGGTCAGATCCCATTGTGGAGTCCTGTAGCTCAGTGGTTAGAGCACTCGCTTTGCAAGTGAGAGACCTGAGTTCAATACCAGGCAGAGGGCGAAACCTTGGGCAAGTTTCCTTACTCCGCACGCCTAATAATAATCCCTCCAAAAAAACAGAACAATAATAAATTGGTCATTTTCAATCTACGAGAGTTTGTGGGACACTGCTGTGCGCTTTTCACCCACAAATATAGTCAATTCACTTTACAGTCTATTCTGTAAAGCTCTTTGGGAGGTCTAGAAGACGTGAAAAGCGCTATATCAAATGCAAGGATTATTATCATTATTATTGTTGTGTTCAGTTTTGGGCACCGCACCTCAGTAAGGATATATTGGCAGATTCACTAGAATCATACCAGGCCTTAAAGGGTTAAATTACGAGGAAACGTTGCATAAACTTGGCCTCTATTCCCTTGAGTTTAGAAGGTTGAGGTGTGATCTGATTGAGGTTTTTAAAATAATAAAGGAATTCGATAGGGTAGCTACAGAGAAACTATTTCCTCTGGTGGGGAATCCAGAACAAGGGGCATTATCTTAAAATTAGAGCCAGGCCATTAGGAGTGAAATCAGGAGGCAATTTTTCACCCAAAGGGGAGTGGAAATCTGGAACTCTCTCGCCCAAAAGGCTGTGGATGCTGAATCTATTCACATCTTCAAGACTGAGGTGGATAAATATTTTTTAGGTCAGGGAATCGGGATATGGGGCAAGAGCCAGTGATCAGCCACAATCTTATAGAATGTCGGAACAGGCTTGAGGGGCTGAATGGCCTACTGTGTTTCCGTGATCTGAAAATGGGGAAGAAAGGAGGGATAAAGGAAGAGTGTTCCAGAGTTTTGGGGCATAGTGGCTAAAAGTGTGGCCACCGATGGTGGAACGGAGGGCACGAGGGACATCCAGGAGGCCGGAGCCAGTTGAGCAGAGACAGTGAGTTGGGTTGGGGAGTAAGCAGGTCGGAGGGGTAGGGAGGTACCAGGGCATGAAGAGGCATGGTTGCAGACAGACATATCATAAGACAGATCATAAGTTGAAGATAGAGGTGTAAACAGTAGGACAAATGCTCTCATGTTAATCACAAGCCCTGAAGAATCGCCCCCCTTCTTTCCCATCTCTCCATGTGAAAACATCCTGACATGAACCTTCAGCGCCTTGTCCTCCCGCGACATCTTTTCTTCCTTCTTCTTTTTCTTCTTCGTGCCCAACTCTCCGTCCACCTCGTCCCCTTTCCTCTTCCTTTGGGAATAAATGACAAAGTAAGCCGTCATCGCCTCACGACATTCCCCCCAAATGGGGTCATCACAATACATTGAGGTTGCACTTAAAAGGAGTCGTGTATTTCCAACCCCAGCTCCTTCCAATAGCTTAGACAGTTTGTTTCTCCCATTGATGTGGCCAATGATCCTCCAGATTAAACAGACTCACCCAATGGTCGTTTGTGGGACCTTGCCATGCCCAAAATAGTTTCTCTACAAACAACAATCACTCCACTTGTCAGTAATTACCTACAAAGCACTTGAGTGGGATAGCAATACGAACTTCTGCTTATTTATACAGGGTCTCTTTGATAAAGGCAGCAGGGCTAGATCAACCTGTCTGCTTCCTCTGCTCAGCGGGCTCCGCCTACTCTACCTCCCCCGCTCGACCCACCCCACTATCGGCGGGTGGGCCTTCAGCTTCTCTGCTCCCACCCTTTGGAACTCCATCCCACAATCTCTTCGCCTTGCCTCCTTCAAAGCATGTCTCAAAAACCTCCTCTTCAACCGCATTCGGCCTCCCTCCTACCCTTACCTTCCCTGCCCTCCATTCCTCCTGATCCCAACTCCCAGCTCGGGTCCAAATCCCTGACTGTCCAGTGCCTTGGGACATCCTCCTGACACGAAAAGCACTGTGTAAATATAATTTGTTGTTGTTCACTGAGCAGGGAAATGAGAGTTAAAGACAGTGACTGAAGGCAGGAGTCCAGAAGATCAGTGTTTAGGTTACTGAAGGCAGGGTGCGAGGCAGTGGCTTTAGAAGAAGTGTTTTGATGTGATTAAGGCCCAATAAAAATCGAAGGTCCTTCTCCCTGAAAACCCAAGAGGTGCGAATATGCCCTTGGGTCAGTAATTACAGTTCAAGAGGGAACGGGTGACAGAGGAAGAAACCTCATTAGGCGCAGCCAGAGAGACTGTGTCCTAGGGGGTGTCATTAGCACTCCCCAGACACCTACAGTTGGAGATGTTCATTATACACCATTCCCAGCACTCCGCAGGCATCCAAGCCAAAGGACATCCATACAAACAGGCAGTCCGATTGGAGAGACGGAGAATGTTTCTCCCCGCCCTGTAGAGAAGTGTTTATAGGTTAGTGTTATCTGCATGGAATGATAAAAAAAATTGTGAAGCGTTTTGAGATGTCTCGACAACGTGATGAAGTGCTGAATCAAATGCAAGGATTATCATTATTAAATCTGTTAACAGTGGGTACACCTCTTTCTGAGTAAACCATACTCCTGGGTAATTCCACTACTGAGTCAAACTCTGCCTCCTGGATTACTGTGGCGTCCTGTAGATAGTGGTTAGAGCACTCGCCTCACAAGCGAGAGAACCTGGTTTAGATTCCCGGGCAGGGTGAAACGTTGGGCAAATTTCCTTACTCCACACGCCTCGGTTTACCTAACAGTAAGTAGGAACCCAGTTGTTAGTTGGTTGGCGGATCGCTTTTCCGGGGGTTATAGTCCCTCCAAAAAGTAATAATATTTGGTCGCTCAATCCACGACAGTTTGTGGGACACTGCAGTGCGCAATTGGCTGCTGCGTTTTGCCCATGTAATACACAGTCAATTCACTTTACAGTATATTCTACGAAGTACTTTGAGACATCTCAAAGACATGATAAATCAAATGTAAGCATTATTATTATAGAATGAGCGACCAACATAACCACTCGTGAAGGACATGTGGTGAAACTCGTTGGAACTCCGCAACTGGAGCCCCCTCAACACGAGGTTGAGACCACACTGCAGGTGAGGCACTGATAAAATAATATGTTTTTTTTCAGGAGGAAGGTTGTTTTTCTGGCTTGAGTAAGAAGTAACTTTTTTAAAAACAACCTATATTGCCTTATTTCATCTCAAAACGTTTCTTATGTAAGTGTGGTGACATTTTGTATGCAAATGTGACAGAGATGCTGCAAGGTCCCACAAACAGCTACCAGATGAAATTGATTTTGTGGCTCTGGATCAGAAATTTGTGGAGTCCTGTAGCTCAGTGGTTAGAGCACTTGCCTCGCAAGTGAGAGGACCTGGGTTCGATTCCCAGCTAGGGCAAAACGTTAGGCAAGTTTCCTTACTCCATACGTTTATCTAGCAGTAAGTAGGAACCCGGTTGTTAGTCGATTGGCGGATTGCTTTTCCGGGGGTAATAATGCCTTCAAAATATATAAATATTATAATAATGTGGTCATTCAATCCATGACTGTTTTGTGGGATACTGCTGTGCGCACTTGACTGCCACGTTTCGCCCACAAAATATACAGTCAATTCACTTTACAGTATATTCTGTGAAGCTCCTTGAGACGTGATAATAATCCTTGCATTTGACATAGTGCCTTATCATGTCTTTGAGACGTCTCAAAGAGCTTCACAGAATATACTGTAAAGTGAATTGACTGTATATTTGTGGGCGAAATGCAGCAGCCAATTGCGCACAGCAGTATCCCACAAACAGTCGTGGATTGATTTGTTATTGTTTTTTTTCTTGAGGGATTATTATCAGGTGTGTGGTGTAAGGAAACTTGACTAAGGTTTCACCCTGCCGGGAATCGAACCCAGGTCTCTCGCTCGTGAGGCGAGTTCTCTAACCATTGAGCTACAGGTCTCCACGAGGTAGATGGTGAGGTGCTATATCAAATACAAGGATTATTTTAGGTTAATGCTCCACTCTGAACTCACAGTCTAACCCAACTGCAGGCTGTGCTGCAATGCTGACTAGCTGCAGGGCTGCAATGATGTCGTACAGATGAGATGTTAAAACCACTGTCCCAAATACCAGCTCTAGTGGATGTTAAAAGTTCCCTCAACACAAATGAAACATGAGAAGCTAGTGTTCCCCTGTATCCTGGCCAACAATTCTCCAGATACCAATTGGTCTATATCATAGCAATTGATTCCCATCCCCTTGCTGTGGATAAACAGCAGATGTCTTTGCCTACGAAAACAGTCACGACACCTGACAGGAGTAATTGTGAAGTGCTTTGAGCTGTTTAGCTCTGGGATCCACAGGGAAGCTTACTGAGATCAGCAGTAACGAGTTATAATAATAATTCTTGTAATTGATATAGCACCTTATCACGTCTTTGAGACGCCTCAAAGTGCTTCACAGAGTATACTGTAAAGTGAATTTCTATCTTTCTATCAGCTTGTCTGGCAGACATTGGGGCCTCAACCTCTCTGGGCTCTCGCCTTGGACTCACCGAACCAGTGTGCAATCTATGCATCTGTTTCGAACTCCATCCTCCCACATCCGGTCCCTGACTAGGACCGCTTTCTTCCACCTCCGCCACATTGCCTGCCTCTGACCATACCTTACCCAAAATGCACCTGAAAACCTCCTAGAATCATAAAATCATAGAATCGTACAGCACCAAAATGGCCATTCGGCCCATCGAGTTTGTGCCGGCTGTTTGAATAGAGCAATTAATGTCAATCCCACTCCCCAGCCTTTTCTCCATAACCTGCAAACCCGTCCTCCTCAAATACCCGTCCACCGGTTTTTAAAAGTAGTTATTGAATCGGCCTCGACCACCCTTTCAGGCAATGCGTTCCAGATTCGAACAACTCGCTGCGTGAAAAAATTTCTTCTCACCTCCTCTCTGCTTCGTTTAGAGACTATTTTAAATCTGTGACCTCGAGTCACCGACACACCCACCAGTGGAAACAGTTTTTCGCTTTCTAACCTATTAAATCCCCTCATGATTTTGAAGACCTCTATTAGGTCTCCTCGTAACCTTCTCTGCTCCAATGAGAATAATCCTCACCTCTCGAGCCTTTCCTCATAATCAAGGTCCCTCATTCCTGGTACCATCCTCGTAAATCTCCTCTGCACCGTTTCCAATGCCCTAACATCCTTCCTATAGGGTGGTGACCAGAACTGGGCACAGTATTCTAACTGAGGCCTAACCAGTGTTTTATAGAGGTTAATCATAACCTCCTGACTCTTGTACTCTATGCCCCTATTTATAAAGCCTAGTATCCCATATGCCCTTTTCACAGCTTTATCTACCTGTCCTGCCACCTGCACCCCCAGGTCTCTCTGTTCTTTTACCCCCCCCTTAAGATTGTATTACCGGCCTATATTTCCTCCCCTCATTCTTTCTTCCAAAATGCATTACCTCACATTTCTCCACATTGAAACTCATCTGCCATGTGTCGCCCATTTTACCATTCTCTCTATGTCTTCCTGCAGTTGGCTGCTATCCTTCTCACTGTTTACTACCCGACCTAACTTTGTGTCATCCGCAAACTTGGAAATGGTACTTGCTATACCCAAGTCCAGATCATTTATGTATATTAAGAAGAGCAGTGGTCCTAATACCGATCCCTGGGGGACACCACTGTACACTTCCCTCCAGTCAGAAAAGCAGCCGTTCACCACAACTCTCTGCTTTCTGTCTCCCAGCCAGTTCTGGATCCATACTGCCACTGTCCCTTTTATACCATGGGCTTCTATCTTTCTTACAAGTCTTTCATGTGGCACTTTGTCAAATGCCTTTTGAAAGTCCATATAAACTACATCAACTGCACTACCTTTATCCACCCTCTCCGTTACCTCATCGAAAAATTCTATTAGATTTGTTAGACAAGATTTGCCTTTAACAAATCCATGTTGGCTGTCCCTAATTAACCCATATTCTTCTAAGTGAAGATTTATTCTGTCCCGGATTATAGTCTCCAGGAGTTTCCCCACTACTGATGTTAGGCTGACTGGCCTGTAGTTCCCAGGTTTATCCTTCTGTCCCTTTTTATACAGGGGAGTCACATTGACCACTCTCCAGTCCTCTGGCACCACTCCTGTGCCCAACGAAGATTGAAAAATTGTAGCCAAAGCCTCCGCTATTTGTACCCGTGCCTCCCATAGTAACCTTGGCTGCATCCCGTCTGGACCAGGCGACTTATCTATCTTTGGCGCAGTCAACCTAGTACTTCCTCTGTTTATATTTATCCTATCCATTTCCTCTACCCTCTCCTCCGATACT